TAGATAAACTGACAAAAACAAATTAACACAGCAAACTTGGGTTGCAGAATATTCAAGGAGGTCTGGTCGATTTAATGATTGTTGTGTGCTCTGTATGTGATGGATACTTGAAGGCAACAGGATGTACACATTGCAAAGGGAGCATGGGGAACTGGGTGTGAATGCTAAATTTTGCCCCAGGTCACTTGGTGGGTTAATCTGGTCCTGTTTCAAAGTAAGACTGAATACTTTGTACAACATTCTTCTCTGAATTCAACTGCTGGATAATGATTGCTTTAAGCTTTTTTAAGTTTAAATAAACTGAGTTCAGTGTTGGTGACCATTTTATAGTGTTTTATCTTAAGTACACAATGAACATGACCAGAAAAATAAATGGAACAACCTCAGAATAACATGCTGGAGTACAGCAGGTTATAAAGGGTTACAGAACAGCTCATTAAAGCTCTCTAAATGTACCGTCATTTAGAGTAGATCTGATCCGTGTGCAACATGGGTATCCATGGGGGCCCTTGCTCTACTGATTTGAGCATTTAGCAAACCAAGTCTGCGAGGGCCAGTGTTCATGGATAGGATGTGCACAACCAGACTCAGCTGACCTTGAATATGCACCACTAACAGGGAGAGGCACAGAGGCAAGTGCCAGTATGCCCACAGGAGTACGTGCATCATCAACTGTCTTGGGGCTGACGAGTCCCCATTTGTCAGTTTATGTAAGGTTCAGTGCCACTCTTGTGCATACATAAAAACACTAACAGCCCAGCATTCAAAAAATGCTGAAGCACAGCAGCCCACAGGGAGGCATCAGTCAGTCTTAAATTAGTAGCATAAGCCAGACAGACGCCCACGTATATAAAGCGTGGTCATCTCTGAGCTGCCAGACTCTGCCTGCACAGCTACAGTATGAAAAGCTTGCAGTGATGGTATCTCCCTAGCCTTATCGTGCTCTCTATTTCAGAAACTGAATGCTCCAGCACTACAATTATCTTCCTGCTCATGTCAGACCTGACCCAAGCCGGGCTGTGGGGGGTCACAAGGCAGGGGGAAATGTGAGCATGAGCAGCCGGCAAGGGACACTGCATCGGTTTCCTTTTTCACACCTGGCTGCTTGTGGGACCGTTTATTCCTCTTGTTACAAAAGAAGGCAGCTCAATCCCATATGGCCTTTTTTCCCCTCTGTGTGCAGGAGCAGGCTGCTGCTGGAGACAGAATAAAGGATGGCTCCAGCTAGACAGGGATTAGTGCTGGTTAAGCTAGTTCAACTCTGCCTGCTGTGCTGAAGCCTTTCAGGGGAATAGCTGAGGGATGGTTTGGAGTTCTGTTTTACTGGACACAAGTAACAATTGGGGGTTTGCATTTCTTATTCACTATGTCAACTATTGATGAAAAGAATATGCTACATGAGCAGCAAATATATTCCTTGGTCTAAGAGTGTCAAATGTTTACCGGGCCAGTTTGTTAAATACTGCTGCAGTTCACTGGTTTTTGATAGAGGTTGATGCATAATGACTTTTTAAAAAGGACCAGTGTGTAGATATTAGCGGCAACTAGCTGTGAAGTTGCAGGAACCAACCATTTGAATACAGCTTGCCTTAATTCCAAGCATGTAGGAGAAACTAGAGTGGCTGCAAAACTCACGGAAAACTGGCCCTATCTAGAGCCAGTGTTTGGTTTGTCCGTTCTGGGCTACTGTAGAAACAGGGTAGTTCAACATGGCGGACTCTGTAGAAGAGGACCAGCTCCCTCTGTAGATAAAAACCCATTCTAAAAAAGGTAACAAAAACACAATTTTATTTTCATATAATTATGCACCATAACACACTTGCATATTCTGAAAATAGAACCTTTTTTATGGTATAGTGAAACAGTCCAGGGTTTTATTTCATGTCTTGACCACACCCTAAGGGTTACCTGACAGCTGAGTGAATCTTTACACAGCATGATCACAGAGGGAAAAGTCCACTTCCCACTTGCCTATAGAGGGACCTGTCATATGTAAGGATCATGTGCTTTTATGTTGGCCTAATTCGACACTTGAGTCTCCTGCTTATATATTGGGTGGAACTTATAACAATATTGGATAGAGGCTATCCTTTGATGCAGCTTCTTGGTTCACTAAAAGTAAATGAGCTCATGTTGTGAATGTAAATTAAAATTGAATCGTTTCTGTATTTGTTTTCTTGTTGACTGTTTGCCTGCACAATGAAAATGCATTATCAATGGCTGAATGTTGTAAGTTGCACGCTGATCATTTGTTGTAAGACTTTTTTGTATCAAATGCTATTGTGGATGCAACTTTTTTTTGTGATATATCTGAATAACCAATCAAGCAAATGTCAGGGATCTCCCAACGAACTTGTACTTGTAACTTTCAGAAACTGTATTTCAGCATGGAGCTTTAAGGATCTTTGTTCCCATACATCAGAACTAAGTCTTTTGATAGAGACCACAGCATTATGCAATACTGCTGCACTAACCATGGTTAATATTGCACTTTTTTCATAACATATTTGCAGTTAATCAAAGTTGGACCCCCTAGTTGCATGCAGTCAACCTGGGGTCTCTGGGGCCAACGGGGGTCTGGGTCCGTTGCCCTCACTAATCCAGCCTTGTGTAATAACTTTATTGCAGTGGCATTAGGATGCATTTATTTTGAATGATCTGCTGTGACGTGCAGCCAGTGGAACATGACCCTAAACACACTTGACCTGACTGATCACCTCAGCAACTCACAGTTTAGTTGCCAGATGATCCGTTAGTTATGCATTGCTTATGACTTACATGTGAGGATGAGATGGCCATCTTGCACACTCGTGTTGTCGGGGCGGATAGTGAGCTCTATACTCCCAGTGTCCAGGTTTCTCTGGTTAGTCTTGGAGTTGAACGAAGCCTCAGAGCGGCAGTGATCCCGCAGCCACACGTAGTTAAAACGCATCGGCGTCCCTCCATAGTCGACCACTGGGGATTGCATATGCAGCTCTTAATGGCGAATTCGGACTCACTGGTGCGTATATACATTTGGTTAAAATGTAATTGCACTCACCAAGACAGTCTTCAAGTAACTGAAAAGTTGCTGGACGCGCAGCACACGCACGGATCTGCGTCTGGAGTCTCCATGGCACACCGCACAGCGTCTGCGCCTGTTTCAACGCGGGTCGCAATCTCCTGTTGAACGAGCCCAACATCCCGATCGCAAAAAATATATATTTTTCTATAACCAAAACTTAAACTGATAGCCCCCTTCTTTCCCGAGAGGTTCCCGTGCAGTCGCAGCAGTGCAGACCCTCTGTAGTAAAAGTGCTCTCTTTCTCTTAAAGCGCTCCACCTTCACACAGGTAAATCTTTAATCTCGTCAAATGTCTCAGAACGAGAGACAGAGAGAGAGAGAACGAGATTAATTATTAAACGCACCATAGTTCCTCCTGTGAGTTTGATTTAATATTGTAGCCCAGAGATTAACCGCAGCCATTCGACCGGTTTGGCACATGCGTAGTCCCCTCTACCAATGCCCGGATGTTGAGCAGCCTACAGGAACAACAAGTGGAATGGGCGATTGGTGTTTACCTGATTTAACTGACATCACGTTGAGCTGCCAGTATCAGGTTCACCAAGATACATTAAAAGCAGTGTAACACAGCAGTCCTGTAATAAATCATTCAGTTCTGAAACTGTTAATGAGGTGTTGTTTGTGTTGAACTGCATTACATAATACTGTATTTCTGTTATTGGTCCTACCGTCACTGATATAAATGGAGTGGACAAAACACAGTTCACAGTTCATATCTGCCCACCCAATCCAGCGAGGAGGTAAACCTTGTGCCTTTGGGCTCACACAGTGGGACTCAAGACAAAAAGCAGCAGAGGATAAACCAGTCTTTAGTCTGGGGAAAAGCTGACAGTCAGAAACAAAGAGGTGGACAGACAGGTGAGGCAAACAAACAGAGTGGCTGAGAGGGGCAGGCAGGTGAGAGATTAGGTAACTGCAGGGTCTCCCTCAGGGAACTGTTCAGCCGGGGCGGCAGTGGCCTACATCTCCACACGTCTCATCTCGTGATCAATATAATTAGTGGATGACAACAATGGGCCATTTTCACAGCAGACATTTTGACTTATCGTCGCAGGAAAAGCACAGGTGATAACAAAAACAATGGCTCCGTTCTTTGTGTGTTAGTAGGCTAGCATGCACAATGAAGCACCCTGAAGCTGAAGCAGCTAAAGGGAATTCAGCCATTTCCTACTGTTACATGTCAAAATGTCTTGTGTGGAAAAGGCCCATAACTAAAAATAAACATATATGGTATTGTCTGTGTGAAATAGCGCCTGAAGGTTAACATTTTAAAGGACCAGTGTGTAGGATTTAGTGGGATCTACTGGTGAGATTGCAACTAACTGAATACCACGCGCCTCACACTGGACCTTTAAGACATAAGAGTGTATGAGTGTTGTCACAGTGAGGTGAGCAGGAAACCCTACACTGGTAGTGGTGGGAACCTCTGGGGGTAACTACAGGCAGACAGGGAGTAAATGGATGTCACATGACAGGGACTTCAGTGATGGAGCTATAGTATAAAATACAGTAACTAGTGGGTAAATTAGGTCAAACTGTTTGCTGCTCACTCAACAGCATGAAAGCCTTTTCTACCCGTACCTTCGCAGGTAGCTATTGTCGTGGGTTCTGCTGTTGTTTCCACTGTTACGCGTGTTTCAGGAACTAAATTTCAGCACTAATCCTCTTCATAAGAGGCCAGGCATTAACAGCCGGGCTATCTCAGCTGTGGATGGCTGATACAAACCTGCATGCTGGCTCCCTCTGGAGTCGCCTCTGGAAATAGGCTGCTTATTGGGAGTTAACGCTGGCTGAGTACCTCTTTCCTTTTACCCCAGTTACCCAGTCAGCATAGCCTTGGTCCTACTGCTTTTCCAGATAAATAAATGAATAAGGACATTTAATAGAAGAACATACAGCATAAATACAACATGACAGAGAATCAAAACAGGTTGAATGTGTTATTAAGTTATTTATTGTGAAGGGACAGCCGTCTGTCATTATGAATTTGTTGTGAGGTTGTCATATAAAAAGGAGGTTATACAGATACAGGAGGGATCTGTACATAAAGTAAAGTGAAGTAAAGAATTACCTTTTGCTAAATCATTTGTATTCCTTCTGCCCTGGTAATAGATGATTGGGCTGATTTGTGTTGTTTCAGGAGCCTAAAGTGAAGGCTGTGTGAATGCATTTTTAATCTGAGGTATAAAGGGCCTGGAACCATTGGAGAAAATAACCAGATTTTTACATGTAAATATGTGTCCACTCCACTAACTCTCCTAATACTTGAAGTATTATATAATATATATATTTATAATAATATAATATATTATATAATACTTATATATGTATAGATGCTTTTTAATGTTGCATCTGTATATTACACATCGATAGGAATATACTATGTGTTATGGTTCCCAGAGCTCATATTATAAGACCATACAGATAATCCAAGGAGGGTGGGTCTGGTGGCCTCAGGTATATGACCCCCCTGTTGACTACATTGCTGAACTTTATTAATCTGATCAATCTTATAAAAGCACACCCGTGCATGTTGCAGCACTGTTGCCCTTTGACTGGAGGGTGTGTGCCTGAAACGCCAGTAGGCCTACATTAATGAATGATGTGTTTTGAGTGCCAACGATTGTTGTATTCATGTGTTTCAATCAGGATTCAGACAATCCGCAGCTCGGCGCGTTGTTCTGTTGGACCTCTGTGGGAGCACCGTCAGATGCACTCCGTTATTCTGCTTCCTTGTTGCCTGTTAGTGCAGCCCTGCTGAGAACGCTGCGGTAATGCTGCATTCACGGACCGTCGGAAATGTTAAGGTTTGCTATGACTGTCCACGAACTGCATGGAGTGAGGAATATGAGAGTTTATTGTTCAGAATGTGAAGTTAAAAGGTCATACGACATAGTAGCACACACGATGTATCATGATTGTATCCATTTTTCCTTGTCAAATCATAGGTGGAGAGTTTAGTTAGTTGGATTGGATTGTGAAATCGAAAAGGAAAGGAGATTGTGTTGCAGATATGCAACAAAGAAAATGCAAATAAGAGTTTAGCCTGAGAAAAAGACTTAAACAGAGCAAGGCAACCAAACAGTAACACCTACATTTGCTTCCAGTGTGACTACAGTAAACACTCAGTTGCTTAAAGATCCTCCACAGACATGTATTACAACATATACAAATAATCAATTTAGAACAGTAATCTCTGTTTGATATGTTTTTTTTCTGCAAATAAAGTATAATTTCCCAATTAAAATCCTTAAAAACCATCTACTCCTCTTTTTAAAAAATTACACACTATGTATATGCAAATGTTGTTCATTTCTAAGGTGTCCCGCTGGACACAAGATGACTCCTACTTCACTATAAAATTCATTCTCAGTGTGTGTGTGTGTGTGCACTGGCAGCTTCAAGATTCTGCACCACACTTACATACTGACCCAGGACTGACTTCCAAACTATTTGTGATGTCACAAATCATGCTCGCAGACTTTCAATGAGCACAGAGAAACTTTCAGCAGATGAATGTGAAAACATCCCTCTAGTGTCAAACTCTGCACATACGTCATTCTGCACAGTGAAGCTCACACTGTAGGAACAAGAAGAACAACACGTTTTGAGTGGAGGGGGACTTTAACTGATGGATAGAAAGCATTAAATAGGCATGCAATACACATAAGTGAATGTATGTGCACTTAAGAACATAATGGAAAAACACAAATGGCAGTATGGTAGCTAACCTATGCATGTAGCCCTAACTGTAAGAAACTGACACCTTAAAGGAAGAAAACACCCCTTTACATTGTCTATTGCCTTTAAATGTCCATGTAAAAACAGCTCAACGCATGATGACATAAACAACACGAGTGCTGGAATTTGGGAGCTTACAGGGAGCCCCTGAAGGCAGCACGAGCCTGCCCCTCTGAGCAGCAGTCAGTTACATGTTTACTTGCTTTGTCAGCGGTGTCCCCGCAGCAGATATCTCATGTTCCTCACCTGAAACCTTGGACTTTTATCTCAGAGAGACACTTATCACACCGTCAGTGCTCCTTATCTGCTGCTTCCTCCTCCGGGACAGCCTCCTGCGGACCTTGAACGGGGGCACATCGGGTTCACAGGGTGGTTTTTTTCTAGCTAACAGGGAAAGATGACGTTAAAATCCAATAAAAACGAACCTGCCGTCATACTGGAGTCTGTGAGCAGCGTCCGGACAGCCCTCTCCGACCTGTACCTGGAGCAGCTCCTACAAAACAAACCAAAGTCTGACAAGGTAGGGGTGTCGTTTTTTCCTTGTTTTTTTGTTTTTTTTTTTTTTTGTTTGTCTGTGCCCCCCCAGATTTTGCTGTACATGTTTGCTTCCGGGGAAGCAGAGATGGGGCCACATGACCGTTGTTTGTTTCTCGACCAGATCTCTAAAAATAGACCAAGTTGTGTGTTCATAACACAACTTACAGCAACTGGAATGTGCAGATCTCTCCAACAGAGAACAATACATGTAGATGTATTTCTTCTCAGGTCAGCAGCATTGCACAGTCAGCTTTAGTTTGCGACTCAGCAGACATTGCATTGGCAATTTCACTTCTGCATCCCCCTCAACACGTCACATGGAATCATTTCACAAATTGGGGAAACAAGATATGAGACGTCAGGCTGTATTTTTAGCTGTGATCATGAGACAATGTTAAGCAGTGCTGCAGAGCCTTGCAAAATGTATTAGTCATGTTAACATGTCCAACTGTGACAGTGGAATCTTCTTAAAGTGATATCAGGAGGTTTATTTTTCTGAGGCAACGTGAATGATGGGAAATAGAGTTAACGCTGGTCCAATTTTTAACAGTGCTGTGTAATGTTGCCTCCAGCTATAGCTGAACTGCTGCTGAGGAATTTGTGTCAACAGTGAGCTGAGGCCAGGCAACTTGTTTACTCCATCACACTGAGCAGGCTGTTGTTTCTGGCGTAAACGTCGAGTTCAGGCCGGGTTATGTTGTCAAACTACTGACTTTGCCTTTAAACCTGGCAGCACCTTACATGGATGAGCACAAAGTATTTAAAACAAGCTTAAATCCAATCGACAACCTCCAGGCCTCAGTCTGGCAGCCAGTAATACCGAGGGAACTCTTTGTGCTAAACTTCTTCTGTGGAATTGGAAAGTCAGCAGCGAGCTACTGGGGGAAATGGTGAAGGGAGGAAACTCCTTTCCTGACATCAGCAGTTTGCAGTTCAATAGCCTTGAGCTACAATCTTGCCAATGAGTTCTTCTGCTCAGTGGTGATTTGTGAAATCAGTGTCTTTAAAGTGAGGTCACATGGTGTATTATCTCACAGTGCAGACTGCTGTGTGTAATGTAGCTGTGTGTATTTTACATGATGTGTGGTTTATTGTATCTTTATAGATTCTTTGTCAGGAGTAAAACGAGGTTGGCCTGTTCTGTGACTGTGCCAGCTCCTCTGGAAGCTCCTTCAAATACTTCAGATGTACTGTGCACCAGCCACACATAGACAGCCATTCATGCATTGCACCTCAAGTACAACAACACGACTTGCTATTTCTGCCATGCTTTTCGCTGTCACTCCCTCAAACTTGAAATCAAAAAGTCCCTGACAAGTTCAGGCAGGTCACATGAGACCATATATATAGAGAACTGGATGTCTTCCTACAGTACTGGTTTTCAACATCCCTTCCAGCTATCTCTGTGAAATCTGTTCACCTTCTTCCAGTATGAGTCTGTGTCCAAAGAGGTAGTTTTTTTCATTTAGTTTGTCTGAAAGGCTCATTAACCACACGGTTTGTTTCTTCTTTTAAAACAGAGTCTCATATAGGTCACATATTGATCTCCTACTGTGTTCCTTCAAGAGATGCCCCTAAATCCTCCGGGGGGGGTGATTAATAATACTTATCTCTTGATTGAGAGGCAAATCATCTCCAGTGAAGGAGACAAATTGTATTATAATGTAATCAGTCACATAATATGATGGTACTCTATAGAAAAGCAGGTAGAACAATAGGTATAGATTTGTATTATCTTTGTTGGGTTAATGTAATGAAGCTCTTAAAAATGCTTTCATGTCACATTTTTATTACTCAGAATATAAGGTAAAGAAAAATGGCAAACATATTTTCAGTTCCTAATGCCTGGTTTTTCAGCTTGGCAGCCATTTTCAGTCAGTGTTGTCAGTGTTGAGCCTTGTATCTTATCCAAAGATGCACCTCTCACACTCTGTTGGATCTACTTAATCTGCTTCAAATAAAACCAAATCTCATCTTCAGATGAGTTGAGCACATGTCCAGAACAGGAGGCGCCCTGCTCTTTCCTGAGTGCATTTTGCCTTCCACCCTGATCTTTGTTTATCCTGTTGCTTCTCCACACCCACAGCTGGCATTCAAGTCAAGAAAGGGCTTCCTGACCCCAGTTACAGTTACCCGTGTTGACTGTTAACGGTGATTGGAACACATTGTGACAAACCAGATGAATACCTTTCAATCATGTGCCTATCTCTTTACACTCTCATAGTGTGAGTGATAAGAGCTGCTGATGAGATGCATTTAATTAAAAAAGCCTTTTAGTCCCAATTCAAATCTAATCACATATGTTAACAAGCTTCCTTTGTTACCTGCTGTATGTGAGACATCTGTCAGTGTTCTTCAGATAGTTGTTTGAAGCAGATTATCAGTGATAATGTTTGACCTTCAGAGGGAACCTTGGTCAGCTTCCTGCCTGCTCCGTCCTCAGGGTCAGCACTTTATTGGGAATAAATAAAGTCTCCTGCTCGGTGCCTTGAGGAAAATTACCCAGTATTTAGGTGTGGCAGGTGTTGGGCCCACAAAATAGGTTCTCTAAATTGGGAAAAATGATTGCCCTGCGGGTTCATTAACGCACTTTCATCAAGTTCTTTTACAGTGGTCATAACAAACAAACAAACAAGCGGTTGAGATTAAAATTAATTTCCTGTCGAGTTAGGAGCAGCTCCAGAAGGAAATGTTTCGCTCTGGGAACAGAAATAAATACAAAGACACCTTTTGGATTTCAGAGATATAAATCAGTGTGTTGTTTCAAGATACATATGTATGTGTTGTTTTATCTGTAGCAAAACTGCTGTACAGATTTCTATCTTCAGCAGATGTAATTTCATCTGCTCACCATGGGGCACGGTCCAAATACTCCTGTTCCTGGTACTGCACCGTCATGACATATAACAGCATAAGGCTGGTAAATAACTATCATGTTGCACAGAAAAACAGCTGGCTGACTTGCATGACTCCTGCATTCAGCTCTCTTGACTCACAATCTCTGAGTACAAAAATTGTTGTTTAATTTAGAAATTTTACATTTTCCAGAGGAGGCATGAGTACAAAATGATGTGAACACAAACATACACATGTTAAAGAAAATAATCTTACCAAGATCACATACTTTTAATTAAGAGGACATAGATGAAAGTCATAAGAGTCATAAGAAGTGCTGCTCTGCACAGTATTTTAGGGTGAGTTTATAGACGAGTAGGAGGAGGGCGATAATGATATTTATTGGTTTATTGTAGTGCTGATGCTGGAAGATAGATAATATATTTTTTGCTGAAGCAGTGCTGATGTGTCATATTCATGAAGAAAGTTTGTGCTGACGCAGGTAATCGTGTCTCTGGTGTCAGTTTAGTGACCAGTTTATACTTTTTGATATAGTGCATTCATTGTTCTAAATTACACATCAGTGCTGTGCACAAAATGCTGATTTCTCCTTTTCTATAGCAAACCAAAAGCTTCCTTACATTAATGTTAGTCTATGATGACGATCACATGATGGGACTGGTGGTATCCATGACCACATGAACCTGGTGGACCAGATCCCTGGACGTGGTTAATGAGGTGTTATAACGCTGGGTTAATTTTCAACTTTGAACATATGTTGAAACTGCAAATGAAACATGGCTGTTGGCACACATTAGCAAAAAGCTTCCACTGCAGGTTATTGGAAATAGTAGTGTGTTAATGATCCGACCAGTCCAGATGAACTCACTGTCAGTCTTTAGAACAATGAATCAATAAAAAAAAAAAGAATTATGTGTGTAAAGGCAGGTATAAACTTTATTCAATTTCATATATTGTGAGATAAAACAATAAACGTTATGTGTTTTTCTTTTTTCTTTAACAGGCGGCTATGCAAACGTATGAGAATAAGGGGGCTGAGTTTTACACCAATGGTAGTGCTGGACACATGAATGGTGCAGAACTGACCAAGATGAAAGAAGTAGAATTTGAAAAGAATCCGTCAGAGCCAATGGTATGCTATCTGCCTCAACAACAAACACACACACACACACACACACACACACACACACACACACACACACACACACACACACACACACACACACACACACTTTTATTTTTTCAGATTTGTGTTACTGATTCCTCCTCATTGGCTGTGGTGTTTGTCTGTAGGGGGTCACTCTGAAGCTGAACGACAAACAGAGGTGCACAGTGGCCAGAATATTGCACGGGGGCATGATCCACAGACAAGGTAATTAATCACACAGCGAACTGATTGGAGTGTTGGAACTGGCGAACTTGTGTGTGTTAGAAAGAATATTTTTTTTTAGATTACATCACGTCTGATATGGTTTGAGGATTTGGACTATCACTAAATATTGTATTTTTTTAATAATTGTCAATAATGATCTTTAATATATATATATATATATTTTTACTGCAGTGGCCATTTTGATAGCACGGTTCTCTCTCTTGTTACTACACCTCTCCTGGTTTCTTCTTCTCTCCAGGGTCCTTACATGAAGGGGATGAAATAGCAGAAATCAACGGAAAAAGTGTGACAAACCAAACTGTAGATCAGCTCCAAAAGATTCTGGTAAGTTGATATCTTAAAAATCAGTGATGAATCTTTATGTAATTATTGCATT